TGCCTGCCTCCTTGGTCCTCAGGAAAGGGAGCTGGAGCTGCAGAAGGAGCAGCGGCGGCAGGAAGAGAACGACAAGCTGCGCCAGGAGTTCGCACAGCATGCCAACGCCTTCCACCAGTGGATCCAGGAGACCAGGTGCGGCCCCACCACCGGGAGCACGATCCTGGGGTCCGGGTGCCCAGGCCCGGGGTCAGGAGCTCGGCCTGGTCTGGCTGGAGCTGGAGGGGTGGGCAGAGTGAGGAGTGTTCTCCAGGAAACTTCACAAGACGAGTTGCTGGTCCTGGATGGGGGGACTGAGTGTGGCTGCCCCACACGGTGACGGTGACAGAGGTCGAATTGAGTCGACGCGGTACTGATGATCTCGGTTTTGTCTCTCTTGTGTCTGCCTCTGTCCCTCGCGATCGCTGCTGTCCGGACACCGCCCTGTCTTGTGGCTGCTTGGATCTCGCCTCCACAGAACGTATCTCCTCGATGGGTTAATATTGACTTCCTATTTCTGCGGGCTCGTGGTGTGGTGGTGTCTCATGTGCTTGTCCCTCTGCCCTTTGTCCCGTCGTAGCCTGGCTTGCAGAGGATCCCGGGATGGGTCTTCCCGTCCCGGGCAGGCTGCACGTTCCCCCGCCCTCCCCCCCACACCCCCCGGGCACCCACACCCCCTACCCCTGACGGCCTGCAGTCCGGGAAGGGGAGCCCCTCCCACATTCCTGTTCAGGTTCCAAGGGTTCCCTTAGGGAGAGAGACCAGGCCAGAGGCCAGGGCTGGGAGCGTCCCCATGCTCGTTCAGCTGTGGGGATTACCTTGGACTTCTTTTCTGCCCCACGTGTCTGATGGGACTGTATTTAGTCCCACAGAGGTCAGGGGCATGAGACAGGACAACAGTGCTGAGGGGCCTCAGGCAGGCGTGCTAAGTCCTCCTGTGCACTGACCCAAGGGCTGAGGCCGTCTCTCATCTTCACAGGAAGCGTGAGGGCCCAGGGTTTCTGAGTGATGGGGGAGAGGGCTTGGGAGGAGCCCTGAGAGGCGTAGGGCTGTCCTGCCTGGTCCTGGGGGGCTTCCTTTCCAGGCGGGGGCCTCTGCCCAGATCAGGCACGTTTGCATTCTCTCCCAGGACCACAGTGCCCTAGACTAGCGCTCCCGAGGCCCGGCAGGCAGGTCCGTCAGGCATTATAGGAGGCAGCAGGAGAAGGTGCCCACTGATGAGCACCAGCTAAAGGCAGAGTGGGGGGATTTAGGGACCAGGTTCAGCGGGAGCTCATGTGCCGCCCTGGTGTCTGCGCTCCCCGCCCAGTGCCCTTGGCTGTGTCTGCTGGTCTTGGTCTTTGTGTCCACGGGATGCCATGCTCCCCTTACCATGTGGCTCCTCCCAGCCCTGCCCCGTCTGGCTCGGTCCCCTTGTGACCCGCCCCCCTCCAAGGCCGCCTGCCCTCCCAGGCCAACCGTCGGCTCGGGTCCCTGCCGGGGAACCAGGTGGCCCTGCCCGTGCACTGCCAGCTTGGGCCTCGTGGTGTGTGTCTGTCTCGGTATGCTCTTGCCTCCCTTCTCTGGTGTATTCATTTGGTTTCTTTTCTTTGAATAGCATAGCGTATCGTCGGGTCATTCGTGTCTATCAGTATGAAGTTGGGGATGATCTGTCTGGAAGGTTTTTCTCCTCTTATTTCTCTTCTTACCTCACTGTGGTTTTACCAATGCACTCTTGACTTCCCCAGGCGGCTCTGCTTTCTGACTAACCCACCGCCCGCGGCCGCATGGGCAGGAGGGGTCTGTCCTCCTCCCACTGCCCCAGCACCCAGCCTCCTGCCCCTAGGGCCCGGGGGTGTGCTCTCCCTGGGCACATGGCGTGACTGAGTCCGACCCGCTGGGGCAGGAGGACGCCTGGTGCCTTGCCTTGCTAGAGCACTGTGAACTTGGGGGCGCTAGCAGAGCTAACGCTGGCTCGCTGGGTGTTAAAAGGGTAGGTGGGGGCAAATGTGGGTACAGGGGAGGCCGGGCGAGACCCCATGAAGGACACGCGCACAGTGTGACTTGTCCCTGCACGTAACCTCGTCTGTCTTTGTTCACTGGTGGCCTCTGTGACCCCACACTGTGTTATGTCGGGAAGATAGAGGCTCCCCAGAGGCCTCTCGCTCTCCAGAACTTGGCCCTGGAAGGAGCCTCTGGTGCTGTGTCTCTAGATAACAGAACCTGAACCTGGGGTTTAGTCACAGCCACCCCTCCTCCGGGCAGAATGAGAACAATTTTCAAAACTCCTATCTGGCCATGATCTCTTTGGCATCCTAGTTTCCATGTTGAGGGCCCCTCTGACTGCATCCCCATTACGGTCACTTCCCCTGGAGCGTGGGTGCCCTCCTCGGGGACCTGAGGAGACCCCGAGGACCCCTGGGTGGCTGTTGGCTCGCCGGCCTCCCCTCCGCCCTGAGGTCCCCCATCTGTCAGGTGGCAGGCGGCCAGGTGCCCTCCTCCCCTGTGGCTGCAGCCCCCTCTGTCCCAGGGGAACCTAAAGTGGGCTCCTGAGGTACCCTGCGAGGGCCCGCCTTGGCTCAGGCCCCATATCACAGCCTGGCCAGGCCTGAGGAGCCAGCAACGTGAGCGCGTCCTGGCCGGGGAGCAGAGAGCAGGCTGGGTGGGGCTCGACCCGCCTTACCTGCGGGGCCTCACTGGGTGAACGCCGCCTCGGGTCGCAGCCTCTGGGCCCTGAAACGAGCAGCAGTACTTGCCCTCCCTGGCTCCCAGGGCTGCTGAGAAAAGACAGCCAATAGCAGACAGGTCTTGTTCCCTCAATAGAAGGAATTCGAGACTGCAGGTCCTTTAATATGAAGAAAGTTAACTTTGCGCTCACGATCAGCCCTCTTGCCTCACTGTGTGTCTGTGTTTAGGTCCTGCATGGTGGAAGAATCCGGGACCCTAGAATCACAGCTTGAAGCTACCAAAGTAAGCCCCCCTTCTGCCCACCCCTGCCAGCAGGCCTCCTTGGCTGCAGGTCAGGGACGAGGTGGGCTGCTTGGGGGCCCCCGTTCTCCCTTGCGTTAAAGCAGCCTAGGACCGCCGTCACTTTAGAGGCTGCTGCCTCGAGCCCTGCTTGGACAGGAAGAGGTTTGTTGAGTCCTCAGTGTATCCTGTTGCCCTGGCAGGTCAGCCCGCTGATCGGTGCCTGTCACGATGAAGCCTCTTCCTTTCCTTTATGAGGCTGTAGGGTTTTAGCTTCATCCCATCCCTCCTTTCCCCTTGCAGGCAGCCCTCCAGGCCTCAGGCTGGGGTGCTGAGACCAAAGAGGGCTGTTAAGGAAGCGTTTGAGCCCTGGGACCGAGGCAAGAACCCCTGTCCCACGTGTCTTTGCTCCTTGCCCCGCAGCGCAAACACCAGGAAATTCGAGCCATGAGAAGTCAGCTCAAGAAGATTGAAGACCTGGGGGCGGCCATGGAGGAAGCGCTGATCCTGGACAACAAGTACACGGAGCACAGCACCGTGGGCCTGGCCCAGCAGTGGGACCAGCTCGACCAGCTGGGCATGCGCATGCAGCACAACCTGGAACAGCAGATCCAGGCCAGGTACCTGCGGCTGCCCCGGGCAGGGGGATGCGTGCCGCCAGCTGCCTGGCCTGGAGGACCTGGTCCCTGACCCTGCCCCTCCTTCCAGGAACACAACAGGAGTGACCGAGGAGGCTCTGAAAGAATTCAGCATGATGTTCAAGTGAGTGCCCCCCACGCCCTCCCCGGTGGGGGAGGTGGGCTCAGCAGCAAGGCCTCTGGGCTGAGGCCTCGGCTTTCTGCCACAGACACTTCGACAAGGACAAGTCTGGCCGGCTGAACCACCAGGAGTTCAAATCCTGCCTGCGCTCCCTGGGCTATGACCTGCCCATGGTGGAGGAAGGGGAGCCTGACCCCGAGTTTGAGGCCATCCTGGACACTGTGGATCCTAACAGGTGAGCATCAGGGAAGGAGCAGAAGCGGCTCTGCCCCAGGCTCCTGCCACGCCCTCCCTGCTCACTATACCTTTCCCCCCGCCCCAGGGATGGCCACGTCTCCCTGCAAGAGTACATGGCCTTCATGATCAGCCGTGAGACTGAGAACGTCAAGTCCAGCGAGGAGATTGAGAGCGCCTTCCGGGCCCTGAGCTCCGAAGGGAAGCCTTACGTGACCAAGGAGGAGCTGTACCAGGTCTGGAGCTCTGCTTCCCGGGCCGGGGGGAGGGCGTGTCCTTTGAAAGGCAAAAGCCCAGGCAAGGCTGGCCCCGAGGTTGGGGGCATAACTGAGTCTGGAGTCGCAGCCCCCAGTAGCCTCAGCTGCTGTGTGCAGGCCCTTTTACCCCGTTTTCAAGTGAAACTCAAGTCCAGGCCAAGGCCATTAGCGGCAGAGATCCAGAAGCTCGGGCACGGATGTTTCTGAAGTCGGGCTCACCGCCCCCCACCCCAGCACAGTTGGTATGGCTGGTGGGGGCTCGGCTGACGTGTACCTCTCCCTCCAGAACCTGACTCGGGAACAAGCCGACTACTGCGTCTCCCACATGAAGCCCTATGTGGACGGCAAGGGCCGCGAACTCCCCACTGCTTTCGACTACGTCGAGTTCACCCGCTCGCTCTTCGTGAACTGATCCTGCTTCTAGGTTAGCCTGGCCCACGCTGCCTGCCCTGCCGTCGCCTTGCTGCATGTCAACTCCTTTCTGTGCTCTTAAGAGAAATACTGCAGACAGTGTTGCTTTCCAGTGTAACCTTAACTTGCTTAGCTTGATTTAAGATTTAGTAGAAAACGGTGCTTCAGTAACCGGCTTTAGGTCCAGTCGCCATTGCCACGTTGCTGTGGGGACCCAATTCCTGTCTCACGGCTGGCTACCCCATTCCGACTACAGAAAAATCTGAGCAGCTGGCCAGTTTCCCTCTTGTTCTCCCTCCCCCAATTTTGTTTTCATGTAAAAGACAAATAAATGACTTGACTTCCCCAAAAGCTTGTCTTGTCTTCATTCAGCTTCCGTCAGAAACACACAGCCCAGAGGCAGCCTCCCGCACCTCAGCTGGCCACCTCCGAGGCCAGCTGATCCAGGCGCTCTGTCTCCCGGGCTCCTTGCTCAGTGAACTCACTGCTCAGCTGCCACACCTTTACTGTGCCCTTGGCATCACCCGCAGCCAGGAGATGAGTCTGCTGGCAGTTGAACTCAAGACAGTAGACAGGGCTTTCATCCTCAGTTTGCTTGACTGAAACTGTGGGCTTCTGGGAGCTTTTCTGGAGATCAAACAGCTGCACGTCACCTTCAAGGAGAGTCGTGGGGTGAGAGAGGCCCAGAGCCACAGCCTCTGAGCCTCTTCGGTTCCTGAAGACAAGGGAAGGCACCCTCGTCCACAGCCTCCCCAGCCCACAGCTGCAGGAACAGGCTGGGCTCATGTCCCTTCAGTGGATCCAAGCCTGGGGTCCGTGCCTTACCTGCCCCAGAAGCAGCTGCAAACACCAGGGGGCGCACCGGGGACCAGCGCACAGCAAACAGGTACTTGTGGGAGAGCTGCAGGGAGGTCAGGGGCTGGGCCTGCAGCATGGAGTACAGGTGGACGTGGCCATCCGTCCCTGCGCTCAGGAAGAGATTCCTAGATGGGACACAGGGTAGGCGGGGGGTGAGCGCTGGGGGTCCAGGTGTGGCTGGGGGCTTTCCGCCCGACTCCTCCTGGGCTGTTGTGCTCCCGACAGGCCTCCCTAGACTCCCAAACCTGTGGAGCCCCCGGAAGTAAGGAGCCGATTCCCTGGAGCCAACCGCGGGAGCTCTGGGTACTGGGGCTCACTGGGGAAGCCCCGGGCCCAGGGCAGACGGCAGGCTCTTCAGGCAGCTCCCTTCTCTGTGTGGGTCCCGGTGGGACCCCCCCACCCTCCCTGTGCCAGAGGCCCTGTGAGCCCTCCCTACCTGTGGAAGGGGGAGCAGCTCACAGAGTAGACGGGGCCGCCGTGGGGGGCGAAGGTGAACTGCGCCGGGGCCCGCAGGGGCACAGAGCTGGGCATGCGCGTGACAGCGGCCTCCGCCGCCGCCAGGGAGCACTTGAGTGGGAAGCCGCCTTCCGTGCCCAGCACGAAAAGGCTGGGGTCGAAGCTGGAGAAAGCCACCGCCGTGGCACCCACCTCGGTCTCCCCCCGGGAAGGCTGCAGAGGAAAACACAGCAGGGCAGAGCTGGGGGCGGGAGCCCGCGCAGTGTCCCCACGGAGCCCAGGGCACGACTCCCACCTGCCCGCCCGCCCCCGAGGTGCACCGGCCCAGGGCTGCCTTGTGGGCCTGTGGCTGGGGTGGCAGCCTCACCCCTTGTACCTTCTTCAGCTTGGTGTTCCTGGGGAGCTGCTGCGCGGCCAGGGCGAAGCCCGCGCTCAGCTGCAGCCGGCCAGCCCCGACCCCCTGCCAGAGCAGCACCTTCCCGTCAGCGGCCACACTCAGCAGCTGGAAGCGGTGGCTGTGCCGGGGCTCGGGGAGCCAGACCACCTGGGGGACCGGGAGAGGAGCCAGGTCACTAGAGGACACCTGCCCCGCCTCCCGGCAAGGCCAGCTATCAGCCTCCACATGACCTTCCCCTTCTCTTCCAGGAGGGAAAAAAAAAAGGGAGACTTCTTGAGGAGGCCTGGGAGCCACCTGACCCACCAGCGGGCAGACCCAGAGGGTTCCCAGGTCCCCCCAGATGCCCCCAAGTCCCAGCAGAAAACCAGGACGGCAGGGCCTCCATGGAGCCGGCCAGCAGGGCCAGGCCCAGGGGGGTCCCTCTGAGGGCGAGTGTGACTCAGGGCCCAGGAGCTCCGAGGATGCTGGAGGCAGCTGGCCAACCGCAGACACCCTGGTGACCTTCCAGGGCGGTGGCCAGCGGGCACCCCCTCCCCTGCTCCGCGCTGTGGGACAGGTACCCGGACGGCAAGGCCCGGCTCCGGAGGAGGTACCTCCCGCCCCGCCCAGCAGGCCGCTGCCCTGACCTGGTACACGGGGTCCGTGTGCGTGTCGTCCGTCAGGCCTGTGCACCAGAGCAGTGGGTCCTCAGGGCGGCTCGTGTCCCACACCAGCACCTCACCACTGTACAGTCCACCTGGAGGCCAAGCAGGCGTGGGGAGCCGCCAACAGCCCCGCTTTGGGGACGGGCACCCACCCCCTCCTGCCCACCACACTAGGACGTGGGGCCACTTCCTTGGAAAGAGTCCTGGTCCCCAGGCCACCCGCTCTACCCAGTGGTGGCCCCCCAGAAGCGCCCCCACCACCTGGCTGCTCTTCCCTGCCCACACCCACCATTCCTCCAGCTTCACCTGCCTCCTTTCCCAGCGTGCACATCACTATGGTCAGCACCCCGAGACTGCCTGCTTCGTCCACCCTCATGTCCTGACCAGCCTGTTCCTCTGCATGGCCTGCACCACCCGACTCAGCTGAGGACCTGCCTCCTCCCCCTCCTACGCCCAGTGCCCCCACCTGAGCCCGGGGCCCCCTGTGGTCCCTGCTTCTGGCCTCGGCCACCCCGTGGGATGCGGAACAGACGACACAGGGTGACGGGCTCACCTGCCATGTGGGACGGCTGCGTGGGGTGGAAGGCCAGGCACATGACGGCGCTGGGCACCTCCACCACCGCCGACGGCTGCTGGGGGTTCAGGCCTCGCCGGTCCAGATTCCAAGTGCACACGAAGGACTTCAGCGTGCTCCAGTCCCCGTCATCCAGCCTGCAGGGACACACCGGCACTAGCTTGGCCCCGAGGCCCAGGTCCATCCCAACCCACGCCACCCCACCCCACCTTGCTCCTATCGCCTGACCCAGCTCATCCCCCCCGGACACCCCCAACACAGATGAGTCTCTGTCCCCATCACACACAGACACTGTGCTGGGTACCCAAGTGGCAGAGGCTCCTATATGGCACCCCAAGGTCATGACTTTCCCCGGAAAAGGGTCTCCAGGAACCAGGGACGGGGCCACACGTGGCAGGGGCGGGAAGCTGGCCATGTCTGATGCAGCCTTGGAGAGACGAGGCAGGCCCAGGGCTCACAGCCCACTGCTGATAGCTGGGCACTGGGAGAAACTTCCCTGTCTTTTCCTGCCAACCCAAGGCTCAGGCAGCCTTGAAAAGGAAGATTCCCAGAAAGGCCAAGCTCTGGGCCCACCCCTCTCTGCGCAGATAGGGAGATGGGTTCAGATGAGGTCTGAGGGCCTCCCATCCCCCACACCAACCCCTGCTGCCACTCACCGGCCGTAGGCGCAGGCCACCACAGAGCCAGTGGTGTTCCAGGAGACGCCAGTCACGTGGAGACCCTGTCCTTGGGCTGGGGGATAGCTCAGGGTATGTAGGCAGGTCACCTACAAGAGACAGACCATCCCCAACTCTGAGTCCCACAGCCACCCAGCAGGGTAGCAAAAAGCAGGCACAGGCGTGGGGCTCCTGATCCCGGTCGGATTCAAGTCCACTGCCCAGCCCGGGGACAGTGTGGAGCCTTTATCCCATCAATCCCCCCAACAGGATGCTTCCAGAAAGGAGAGCCTTGAGAACTGAGACGGACGCCAGGCTCCTGATCAGAGCTGGACCCTGTACTCACGTCCGTTCCACACAAAATCTCCAAAGCCTTGGCTTCTGGAGTGGCATGGGCTGAAGGCTGCCCAACAATGTGAGTATCCTGGATGCCACATGACTGCACAGGCGAAAAATGGTCACAGGAGTACAGTTTATGTCAGATGTGTTTCAACACACACTTTTTGTAAAGCTCGGGCACCCTGTGGCTCCGCCCACAGCTGCCAGCAGCAGCTACGGAGAAGGCCGGCAGTGCTGGTCCCGGTGAGGGGCCGGTACGCTTTCCAGGGGCTCATCTGCACCACAGGCCGAAACACCTGCGAAAAGTCTCACCCTTCTTGACCTCGTAACCCCAAATAGAGAAACCAACCAATGGAAAAAAATCCAAACTCTGTCAGAAGCTGCACTGTGCACCTCTGGTGAGAATGCAGAATGTGCAGGCACTGTGGAAACCGGCGCAGCAGTTCCGCAGAATGTTGAGTTACCACGTGGACCAGCAATTCCACTCCGAGGGACATACCCAAGAGAACTGGAAACAAACACACCGACACAAGCACTTGTACAGAGTGTTCACAGCATTATTCATGATAGCCAAAAACGTCCAGACTGACGGACAAGTGTGGTACATCCCTACCATGGAGAACAATTCAGCTGTAGAAAGGAATGACGTCCCGAGAGACGCTACAACACAAGGACCCTGGACAACATTCTGCTAGGTAGACACAGATATATAAACATATGTTATATGAGTCCATCACGTGAGATGTCCAGAAGAGACAAATCTAAAGAAAGAAAGGGGAGGAGCAGCTGCCAGGAGTTGTGGGGGAAATGGAGAGTGAGTGCTAGTGGATATGAATTTCTTTTTTGGGGAGGTGATGAAAATATTCTGAATGTTGAGCTTTAAGCCAACTTTTTCACTCTCCTCTTTCACTTTCATCAAGAGGCTTTTTAGTTCCTCTTCACTTTCTGCCATAAGGGTGGTATCATCTGCATATCTGAGGTCACTGACATTTCTCCCGGCAGTCTTGATTCCAGCTTGTGCTTCTTCCAGCCCAGCGTTTCTCATGATGTACTCTGCATATAAGTTAAATAAGCAGGGTGACAATAGACAGCCTTGACGTACTCCTTTTCCTATTTGTAACCAGTTTGTTGTTCCATGTCCAGTTCTAACTGTCGCTTCCTGACCTGCATATAGGTTTCTCAAGAGGCAGGTCAGGTAGTCTGGTATTCCCATCTCTTTCAGAATTTTCCAGTTTACTGTGATCCACACAGTAACAGCGGAAACAGTGTCAGACTTTATTTTTTGGGGCTCCAAAATCACTGCAGATGGTGACTGCAGCCATGAAATTAAAAGATGCTTACTCCTTGGAAGGAAAGTTATGACCAACCGAGACAGCATATTAAAAAGCAGAGACAAAAAAATAAATAAATAAAAAATAAAAAGCAGAGACAAACAAAATAAATAAATAAAAAATAAAAAGCAGAGTCAGTGTTTGCTTCGGCAGCACATATACTAAAATTGGAATGATACAGAGAAGATTAGCATGGCCCCTGTGCGAGGATGACACGCAAATTCGTGAAGCATTCCATATTTTTGAGGATTTAAACTTCTTGAAAATAAATAAAAGTGTGGATTTGTAAAAAAATAATAAAAATTAAAAGCAGAGACATTACTTTGCCAACAAAGGTCCATCTAGTCTAGGTTATGGTTTTTCCAGTGGTCATGTATGGATGTGAGAGTTGGACTGTGAAGAAAGCTGAGCCCCGAAGAATTGATGCTTTTGAACTGTGGTGCTGGAGAAGACTCTTGAGAGTCCCTTGGACTGCATGGAGATCCAACCAGTCCATCCTAAAGGAAATCAGTCCTGGGTGTTCATTGGAAGGACTGATGCTGAAACTGAAACTCCAATCCTTTGACCACCTCATGCGAAGAGTTGACTCGGAAAAGACCCTGATGCTGGGAGGGATTGGGAGCAGGAGAAGGGGACGACAGAGGATGAGATGGCTGGATGGCATCACCGACTCAATGAACTTGAGTTTGAGTAAACTCCGGGAGTTGGTGACGGACAGGGAGGCCTGGCGTGCTGCGATTCATGGGGTCACAAAGGGTTGGACACGACTGAGTGACTGAACTGAACTGAAAATATTCTAAAATGGATTGTGGCAAAGCTTACACACCTCTGTGCTGTGCGCTTTGTCGCTCAGTCGTGTCCGACTCTTTGCGACCCCATGGACTGCAGCCCCCAGGCTCCTCTGTCCATGGGGTCCTCCAGGCAAGCACACTGGAGCGGGTTGCCATGCCCTCCTCCAGGGGATAGTCCCAACCCAGGGATCGAACCCGGGTCTCCCACACTGCAGGCGGTCTACCATCTAAGCCACCAGGGAAGCCCCTACTGGAAATGTATCAAAACCCACTTCACACTTTAAATGATTTATATGGGTGAATTATATGGGATATAAACTATATCTCAATAAATTTTGGGGGTTTTTTTCCTTTTAATTTTTTGGTTGTGCCACTGGGATCTTAGTTTCCCAACTAGGGGTTGAACCTGTGCCCCCTGCAGTGGAAGCATGGTGTCTTCACCCCTGGACAAGCAGGAAAGTCTTCAACAAATCTGTCATTTTAAAACAAAGCCGAGCGGTGGGGCCAGGAGGCAGAGGGGGCATGAGAAAAACTCTTGGGGTTCTGGTTCCACCAATGTTTCCACTGTGTGAAAATTATGGACCTGAACACTTGTAATCTGTGCCTGTGTTTATGCACGTTTTATGAATTCAATAAAAGTTTATATTAAAAAATACACTATAAAAAAAATACACTATAAGCATTATGTATCATAACAGCAGTTATAACTGCAATGATCAATACACTTTAAAATCTAAAGATGAAAATAAATAAATAAATAAAATAAAATCTAAAGATGAGAAGGCAGAGGGACAGAAAGATGGGCTGCTCTGTACCTTCACTGGTGGGTGTCTGCCAAGACCCAACACAGCACACAGGATGAATTTACCTGTGTGGAAAACATACCTCAATAAACCTGACTCCAAGAGAGTTTATGGTGAAACATCATGTAGCAGTTTAAAAAGGACAAAAGTCTATAATGGAAAGGAATCTGAAAAAAGAAAAAATATATATTTACATACATATTATACATATATATAAAACTGAATGTATATATGAGTGAGTATACATATGTACATGGGCTTCCCTGGTGGCTCACATGGTAAAGATCTGCCTACAATGCAGGAGACCCCGGTTTGATCCCTGGAGAAGGGAATGGCTACCCATTCCAGTATTCTTGAGTGAATTCCATGGACAGAGCCTGGCAGGCTACACTCCATGGGGTCACAAAGAGTTGGATATGACTAAGCGACTAACACTTTCACTATACACACACACACACATATAAAACTTGAATCACTTCGCTGTACATCTGAAGCTATATAACATTACCTACACTTCAATTTTTTCTTTTTTTTTTGGCCACACCAAATGGCATGTGGGATCTTAGTTCCCCTACCTGGGATCCAACCCACATCCCCTGCAGTGGAAACACAGAGTCTTAACCAGTGGACCACCAAAGAAATCCCGAACTATACTTCACTTTTTAAAAAATTATAATAGGGAATTCCTTGGTGCTCCGGTGTTTAGGAGTCCACGCTTCCACTGCTGGGGGCCCAGGTTCAACTCCTGGTTGGGGAACTGAGATCCCACAAGCTATACTGCATGGCCAAATAAATAAATAAAATAAAAATGGTAACAAATAAATAAAAATAGAAAGGACACAGGGCAAGTCTACATAGCAACCTGACAACACAGACCAGGCTTTGCTTCTGAAGAGAAAAGACCCCAAGACTGGTCACAGCACCTCACCGCTGTCAGCCACACACATGGAAACAAGGGCCCGGGCAGGACAAGGTAAAGAGGTCAGAGGTTCCAGGTGGCGCCCCTAGGTGACCTCCTCCCCATCTCTAATTCCGAAGTGTCTGGCCAAGTCATCACTGATTTTCGAATCGTGAAGGCGCAGTGCTTCATTGAGAGCAGCGTCTCAGCCTCTCTGGGGCTACGACGGCCAAGGACAGCAGTGAAATGTCAAGGCCAACACCCTGACGGCTGGAGTGGAGACAGAACAGCCTGATGCATCAGCCAGAGCAATAATTTCACTGGGGAGAAATCATCACGAAATTCATGCAAAAGAAAAACAACGTGAGAGAGACAGATTCGCTTCAGTTCTGCCATACAGCAGCAAAATCTGAAAGGAACTCCTCTGCCCAAACCTCAAAAAGGAAAGCAACTTCAGGGCCTTGAGAGGCCCACATGCCCACGGTCACCCAGGGGTGCTGCCTAAGCCCCCACCTGCTCACTGCTTCTGGAAGGTATGCTTCTAGAAGCGAAGCTGTGCTGGGATGTCCACCAACGGGGACCCCAGGAAGGCTGCCTGTCTGCTCAGCGGCACGTCACGTGGGTTCTAGGGGGCCTGGGGCCCCTCCTCTACAGGAACGGACCGGGAAAGCTCTGCCGAGTAAGAAAGCTCACAAACACCGCGTAGTGTTTCCCACCTCCGTCTAAGATGCTCTTGATGACAACAAGAGCAGCAGCGTGCTGTGCGTCAGCGTCGCGTGGGAAAGGCCTTTGAACCAGCGTTCCCACTCACATTACATGTTCCGTATTTTTGCAATCACTCTGTTAAAATGAACACGCAGTGCTTTTGTAATCAGAAACAAGTATTTATTTCTCCTGTTTTGCACATTTATTTTTATTTTTAATCTGAGGATAACTACAAAATTGTGACGATTTCTGCCATATATCAATATGAATCAGGCATAGGCAAACATACGTCCCCCTTCTTTTTTTTTATTTTTATTTATTTAGCTGCACTAGATCGTAGCTGTGGTGTGTGGCATCTAGTTCCCTGACCAGGGATGGAAGCTGGGCCCCCTGCACTGGGAGCACAGTCTTAGCCACTGGAGCACCAGGGAAGTCCCGGTCCTCTCCCTCTGAAACCTCCCTCCCCATCTCACCCTCGAGGTTGCCGCAGAGCACCTCTGGGTTCCCCCTGGCTATCTATTTGACATATAGTAACGGGAATGTTTCAGTGTTACTCTCTCAAATCACCCCACCCTCCCACCCCCGCTATGTCCCAAAGTCTGTCCTTTATGTCTGCGTCTCCTTTGCTGCCCTGCGAAGAGGATTTAAAGGGGGAGAAAGTAATATACAGGTGGGCCAAAAACTAACGCACAGAAAGGTGGAAACGCCTTAACAACTAAGAACAAGCCCTTGGGACTTCCCTGGTGGTCTGGCGGCTAAGACTCTGTGCTCCCAATGCAGGGGATCTGGGTTTGATCCCTGGTCAGGGAACTAGATCCCACATGCTTCGACTAAGCCTCAGACACATACAAAAAAAAAAAAAAGAATCCAACAAACAAAAAAACCAACAGTTCACCCTCTTTGAATCCAACTGTAAAAGGGGGCTGCTGAGCCCGGATTTTAACGTTCATGACGTTCTTGTGCTCCACTTAAAAAGATAACGACGACTCCACACTTCCTTGTGGCCTTGGCAACTGTTTCTCAGAGGGATTTTGAGGATTTCTCTCGAACAAATCCACTCTCCCTAACCTATCAGTGATTTAGTGGGAACAGGGCAGCTGTATATCCAGAAACAGACAGAAGAGGAAGGCCGGGAGAAAAGGGCTATGACCTCTGAATACAGAGCTACTCATCTCCATTTCTCCAGGAAGAAAACAATGCATAAGGAAAGCCTTAAAAAAAAAGAAAGAAAGAAAAGCCTTTACTGCTCAGTCAGCGGCCTGTCCACAGGCAACACAGGGTGGAGCAAAAGCCAAGAGCCCACCTTCGTTCAGAGGCTTCTGATCTCAAAGCAGTGACTCCAACTGGACATTTGTGTTTACAGTGACTGCTCGGAGCTCCGCCTCGAGACCAGAAAAGGCTTGGCGACGCAGAAGTCACTGGAGCGCAAGAGTGAAACCAGAGAGACTGAGACTCAAACTCCAGCTCCGCCGTCACAGCTGTGTGACTGCGGGCACGTCCCTTAGCCTCCCTGAATCTCATCTATGAGATGGAGATCGTCGGAATTCCCTGGCAGTCCTGCCCTTTCGCTGCCAAGGGCCCGGAGTTAGACTCCTGGTCAGGGAACCAGCGTGGACAAAAAATAATAAGATGGAGATCAGGAAAGAACTACCTCACCAGGCCATCCAGAGGGACAGATGAGTTGGCACAGAGCGTGCCTGGGGAAACACAGCTGAGTGGTCAAGAAAATGAGACCCAGAGTCAGACTGTCCAAGCTCAAACCCTGCCTCTACCGCCTACTAGCAGTAAATGGAAATAACAAGGCGCCACCCTCAAGGGCAGCAGGGAAGGCCCAGTGACCTCTTACCTTAGTGTCTGGCAAGCTCTTACTTAGAGCTTGGTGAATGCTGTTAGGATTGTTATTGGTGTTCCTATTTATTTGATGGGCCGGGACTTCCCAGGTGGCATTACTGGTGAAGAACCTGCCTGCTAATGCAGGAGATGCTGGTTCGATCTCTGGGTGGGGAAGATCCCCTGGAAGAGGGTATGGCAACCCACTCCAGTACTCTTGCCTGGAGAATCCCATGGACAGAGGAGCTTGGCAAGCTCTAATCTATAGGGTCGCCAAGAGTCAGACACGACTGAAGTGACTTAGCATATATGCTGTTATTGGGTGGCACAAAAGAAGGACTTAAGATGAGCTAAAGCCCCAAACCAGGCATCCCAGGCCTGTACCAGCCCATCCCTACCGTCTGCTGCTGCTCGGCCCAGTTCACCTCGAAGCCGTCAAACGCATGGCTCTGCCAATTCTTGTTCAGCTCTCGGGTAACCATGGCCTCTACTTTCCGGAGAAAGGCCGCAAGCCGGGGGCCGTTGTACCGAGGCACAGACGGCAGGCTGACTGGCTCGGGGACCTCGGTCTGCACCTCAGCATCCACATGCTTCCGGGCCTGCACGGACGCTTCAGCAGTGGCAATGCTGGCCGTCTGGCAACTTTTCTGGAGAAGGAGATCGAAACGCAGTCACCAGCCAGCTCTCCTCACAGCACCACCTGCCCAGGCACTCACCCGCCCACAGCTGTTGTTTATCTTTGGGCAAAAGGACCTCTGTTCACTCTGTCTGCCTGACGTCCGTCCCCTTCCTCTAATAACTAGCCCATCTTCCTTGGGAGGAACCCAATCGGTGTGGTGTGAGTGGAGATAACCCACAGGGAGTAACCCTGACCAGCCAGAGAAACCCACTCACGCGGTGTCAAAAGGCAGTGGGAAAACGTCAAGATCATGAGTAGAAGACAGTCACTTTCTTATTAAAAATATACCTCCTAGGGACCTCCTGGTGATCCAGTGGCTAAGACTCCGTGTTCCCAAGGCAGGCAGCCCCAGGTTGGATCCCTGTTCAGGGAACTAGATCCCACAGGCCTCAAAGAAGAGTTCATATGCCACAAAGACCCAGCACAGCCAAATAAAAAGAAATTAAATATATATACACCTTCTATTAATAGATCTCCTTGACTATTGATTATAAAACATACCAATTATTTAGTAACAGCTCTTCAGGAGGAAACTGGATTAAGTATACACATCAGCTGAGACACACCCCTTTTAATACCTGTTAAAACAGAGGTTGAAGAGATGTGTTCTAAAGTGAGGGAATACAGAAGGACACAGAGAATGGACAGAGGTCCGGGACCCTGTGGCTGAAGGCTGAGCCCCCTCACTCCCCTGGGCAGTGACCACCACCAGCTCATACGGAGCACACAGCCCCTCATTTCACCCTCCAACACACCTGAGCTGCACCCCTGACTCCAGAGTGGAAAAGGACCTCAGAGACCACACTAGACGGGTGGCCTCCCCGAGCAGGGTCACAGAACCACCGGGAGGCTGGCTAAGGGACAAACTGACGCCTCCTCCCCATCCACAGAGCTTCTGGTTCACTGGTCTAGGATGGGGTCTTTGCTAACAAGCCCCCAGGTGATGCCATGGGGCGGGCACTCAGATCCCATCTGTAGGCTTCCTGTGGCCACACCCCAGGGCCCAGAGCCCATCACCTCTGCCCTCTAGGTGCAAACTGCTCACGTCGTCCCCCCCACACTTGAATCTGAGGACCTGGGTTTCACCTGGGGTAGCAGAACACCCCTCTTCTCCCTCCCTTGGCCGCAGCCCTCTCCAGTGGGGTACCTTCCAAGGTGTCCTGTGATCAGGACGCATGCATGTCTGCGGGAGCTGCTTGGTGGGAGGCAGCCTGCTCCCCAGCTCCCACTTCCCTCCACCCTGACACCCGTCTCCAGTTCTTTGTCCCCTGTTTAGCTGGGCAGAGGGACAGACATCACATCAGGGAAGGAGACGCAGCCTCCTCCCTTTCTGGAGGACACGAACAACCTTTACCAATGAGGGCTCCTACACGACTGAGATTCCTGTCACCCACGAGAGGCTCTCCTCACGTGGCCGCTTACCAGGCACCTGCACCTACAGGACAGGGACGGGGCCCGGAGCCCCATTCTCCCCCGTTTGGGCTTCTTAAGCACCAGGTGAGTGTTAACAGAGCCCAAAGGAAGGGGCTGGCCCCACAGGAGGGCCGCTGGGGAGGACAGGGTGAGACGGGGCTCCTCGTCAGGGGCTGAGAAACGCCGCCAGTGTGAACACAGCTCCCAGAAGTCCCCCTTCCCGGCCCTCCCTTCCATGTCCTTCCCTCTCTGAGTCCCGTACACACACCTGATGACACCTGGGCATGATGGGAGCTGAGATGGTTCCTGACCTAGTTCAGCAGCTCTTTATCAGCACACCAACAAAACGGGATACGCTGTGAGACATCCTGATGTTAACGAACAGAAACTGTACCATGGGAATATCTTGGATACAATGTTGACGGGAACTCCCTGGTGGTCTAATGGTTAAGAATCCACCACTCAGAGCACGGAACACCGCCAGTTCAATCCCTGGCTGGGGCAGATTCCACCTGCCTCGGGCAATTAAGCCCACCACAACTACTGAACTCACGCACAGCCACGACTGAAGCCCACGAGCCTGGAACTCACGCTCCACAACAGAAGCCACTGCAATGAGAAGGCCGTGCTTCACAAACAAGAGAGTGGCCCCTGCTCACGTCTACCAGAGAAAGCCCGCGAGCAGCAACCAAGACCCAGCACAGCCAAAATTTAATAAATAAACAAAACTGACGGGAATTTCCTGGTGGTCCAGTGGTTAGGACTTGGCGCTATCGCTGCTGGGGCCTGGGTTCCATTCCTGGTCAGGGGACTAAGGTCCTGCAAGCCTCGGAGCACAGCCAAAAAAGAAAACAAAAAAAGTTGAGTGGATTTTGTGATGCAACATGGACATTTACATTGTCTCCTGTCTCACTCATGTGAGAGGAGGGTGAGGGTAACTGAACCCAGAACCAATATCAAAGTACTTCAGGGTATGACCTCCTGTTCATTTGACCTTGCCTCGAATATATCAGGGTGGTGGGGGTTTAGTCGCTAAGTTGTGTCCAACTCTTGGGACCCCATACCAGGATCCCCTGTCCATGGGATTCTCCAAGCCAGAATACTGGAGTGGGTTACCATTTCCGCCTGGATCCAGGGAATCTTCCCAACCCAGGAACTGAACCCAGGTCTCCTGCACTGCAGGCAGATTCTTTACCAACTGAGCTATGAGGGAAGGCCGTATAGCAGGGTAGCAAACAGTTACTCAAAGGATGACCTGGAGCTGAGAGTTAACCAATGAACACAAATGATCAACATTTTCACCGAAGCTGGGAGGCTGTTATGCCACAACACCTTTCACTTATAATTACTGCCAGCTACTCTGGTGGTGTCTTCACATGTGTCTTGAAAAAAAAAAAAAACTTTGGTATCAAAACTATTAGCAAACTCCAAAAGGTTGAGAACCAAAATCTAATGCCTGAAAACTTGTGAGAGGCCAAACCTCAGGTTAAAAACAAACCCCTCCAGCAGGGGGTGTCATCTGCTACAGAACCCACAAAGGCGAGGAAGCAGCCCCAGGTGCAGAAAGAGGGAGGAGCGGACAGGTGGGCAAGTTTAACTCAAAGCAGGAGGGGAGAAATTCAGCAGAATTAGGCTGTGGATGACAGGACACAAGAAAAGGATTCCATTCAGTATTTCCCGGAGGCCTCTGGGAGATGCAAAAGTACACAAGACCCACTCCCTGCCCTCTGGGAGCCCATAGTCCAGAGACAGACCTGAATGCCCAAAGTGAATGCATCTGCTGATAGAAAGTTCCAGAACTAGACGGCAGTGATGGCTGCATGTTGTGAAGGTATTTAACACCACTGAACTGTACACTTTAATATGGTAAAATGTGTATGTATCTTACAAGAAAAGGGTACTTGTCTGTATCTTACACAAGAAAAGAATGCACCCTATTTTTTTTTTTTTCACCCTGCGGCATCTGGGATCTTGGTTCCCTGACCACACATTGAACCTGTGCCCCCTGCATTGGAACAACAGAGTCTTAATCACTGGACCACCAGGGAAGTCCCCCGCTCTACATTCTGACAGGATTCAAACAGGCTTCAGAAAGGTAACGCTGCTGGAAAGGAGGGTGGATTAAATAAATGGTCCTCAAGTTTTGCCACTCATGTTATGACAATAACCTGAGGAGCTTTTATAAATCCAGATTCCCAGGTCATACCACATACCAATTAAACCAGAGTTACTGGAAGTAGGGACCAGATATTCATATTTTTCAAGAGTCTCCAGGGCATTCCAGTGTTGGCCAAGTTCAAAAAAGCAGAGACCAGGATTGAAGCAATTAGGAGCCCTTCATCTCAAACACTTAGACATAAGCGCCCCCCAAACCTGAACAGAACTGGGGGTCAGTCTCAAACTGTTTTCTTATTAGCAACCTCATTTAATTCCACATGTAAGTATTCTAACAAGACCCACTTTGCAGATCACTTGACTGGCCCAAGGCCAAGTCCCCAAAGTGTCCCCATGTACTGAAAGCCTGGTCTGAACCCAAAGTCAAGGACCCTGTGAATAAATCGAGATAAAGCAAGAAAAGTTAAATCAAGCCAAAGATCACTAATACTTCAACAACGACAACAAAAAATCCATCACTGGAACATAAAATTGCACTCCAATATTGCATCACTACATGGGCCAAGCAAAAAACAATGTTTGGCTTTTCCAAAAGAACTTGCCAAAAAAAATTAAGAAGCTGCATATAAAATTAAGCTAAGGGCCTCTGTAACAATCTAGAAGGGTGGGATGGGGAGAGAGATGGGAGGGAGGTTAAGGAGGGAGGGGACATGGGTGTACCTATGGCTGATTTTTAAAAGATATTTGACAGCAAATATTCTGTAAGCAATTAATTTTGTAAAGCAATTAACCTTCAATTAAAACATAAACTAAAAAAAAAACATAAACTTAAAAACTTAGCTAAAACACTCATCACAGGGTTCTGATAAGAGAAAAATTGGAAACAGTTCATCAGAAAGGACTGGTTAAATAAAATGAAGTTATAAAAAAAATTTTTTAAAGGATGTTCAGGGCATAGTGAGTGAAAAAGTAGGTCTACAAAATATTATGCACAGTGCGATTTCATTTAAAAAAAAAAGTGGAGGAAAACAGACAAAAGAGAAAGGGAGCAGGTATAAACCAAATTGCTGGAAAATGAGACTATGGGGCGGTTTTTATTTCCAATTTTTCCTTATCCAGATTTTCTCCTAAATTTTGGATACAAGGACTTCCCTGGTGGTCCTTCCCTCCGAGCTCCCAGTGCAGGGTGCTCAGGTTCAATCCCTGGTAAGGGAACTAGATTCCACATGCCACAGCCAGAGTTCGCATGTCATAACTAAACAACATCTGGCGTGCCACAGCTAAGACCCAGCACATCCAAATATTTAAAATAAATAAGTTAAACAAGTAAATTTTGACAAAGAAACTTTTATAAAGAGAAACAAGTTAATCTGGAAAATTAACTCTTTCTTTGAACCCCTTCAACAATCTTAGAATCTTTTTTTTTGGCCATGCCAGGCAGGTTGCAGAATCTTAGTTCCCTGACCAGGGATCAAGTCCACATCCTCTGCAGCAGAAAGGCAGAGTCTTAACCACTGGACCACCAGGGAACTCCCAATACTCTTACGACTTAATTAAGAATCCCCTTCAATAAAACGAGCTTCCCTGATAGATCAGTTGGTAAAGAATCCGCTAGCAATGCAGGAGACCCCTGTTCAATTCCTTGGTCAGGAAGATCCCCTGGAGAAGGGATAGGCTACCACTTCAGTATTCTTGGGCTTTCCTTGTGGCTCAGCTGGTAAAGAATCCACCCGCAATGTGGGAGACCTGGGTTCAACCCCTGGGTTGGGAAGATCCCCTGGAGAAGGGAAAGGGTAGCCACTCCAGTATTCTGGCCTAGAAAATGCCATGGACTGTATAGTCAATGGGGTCACAAAGAGTAGGACACGACTGAGTGACTTTCACACACATACTTAAATAAAACAGCACAGACTGACACATAACACTGTTCAATAAAACAGCAGAGACTGATTTAAGTGAACCACCTAAGATGAAAGCTTTTACACCTCAAGTATTAGAATCAGTTCTTGGAGCCCTGCTGGTTCAAATTATAGGTACAAGAAAATATGCCTCAATCTCACTCTTTTTACCTTCAATAAAGATGAACAGAAATAACTAAAATATCCACTGCCTTTGCTTTTTTTTTTTTTGCCGTACCACACAGCATGTGGAACTTCCCTGATCAGGGATCAAACCCATGCCCCCTGCATTGGAAGCAAGGAGTCATAACCACTGGGGCACTGGGGAAGTCCTGCCTTTGCTTTTTAATTAGAATCTTTTCTATCCAGTATGATGAAGTGGGAAAAGCTCTGAAGCCAGATCAAATCTGGCTTGAGATCTGCAGACTGCTAGCCTGAGGCAAGAAACTTGTCCTCAAGTTCAGTTCAGTCATTCAGTCGGTCCGACTCTTCGCGACCCCATGGACTGCAGCATGCCAGGCTTCCCTGTCCATCACCAACTTCCTGCTGCTGCTGCTGCTAAGTCGCTTCAGTTGTGTCCGACTCTGTGCGACCCCATAGATGGCAGCCCACCAGGTTCCCCCATCCCTGGGATTCTCCAGGCAAGAACACTGGAGTGGGTTGCCATTTCCTTCTCCAATTCATGAAAATGAAAAGTGAAAGTGAAGTTGCTCAGTCATGTCCGACTCTTCGCGACCTCATGGACTGCAGCCTACCAGGCTCCTCCGTCCATGGGATTTTCCAGGCAAGAATACTAGAGTGGGATGCCATTGCCTTCTCCGCACCAACTCCCTAAGCTTACTCAAACTCATATCCATTGAGTTGGTGATGCCATCCAACCATTTCATCCTGAAGAGTTAATCAAGAGTTACGACTTTAAGGATTCCCTGGTGTTCCAGTGTTTTTAAGACTCCAAGCTTCTACTGTAGGGGGCTCAGGTTGTGATCCCACATGCTATGTGGTATGGCCAAAAATAAAATTTTAAAAATTTAAAGAGGAGAGAGGGTAAGACTTCATGGAAATCTCACCGGTACTGGTGTTGGTGAGGAAATTGTCTTCTGCAGGACCTCTCATCTGTGTAGAAAGCAAAGCCTCAATTTCCTCTGTGGGAAACATGCAGCCCCCTTCCAATGCTCATTTTCACTGAGGGAAAGCTAACATCCTTAAAATGACCTGCAAGCCCTATACTTGCTCTGCCTCTCCTTATCCTCTCTGACCTCACCTGTGACCATCCTTGCCTTCTCATTCCTCTCCAGCCCCACCTGCCTCCTCACACACACCAGCTTTGCTTCAACCGCAGGACCTTTGCACTTGCACTTTGCACTCCCTGGGCTGTTCTACCTCAAATAACCTTGACTAACTCTTACTGCGGAGAAGGCAATGGCAACCCACTCCAGTACTCTTGCCTGGAAAATACCATGGGACGGAAAATACTGAACCTGGTAGGCTGCAGTCCATGGGGTCGCGAAGAGTCGGACACGGCTGAGAGACTTCACTTTCATGCACTGGAGAAGGAAATGGCAGCCCACTCCAGTGTTCTTGCCTGGAGAATCCCAGGGACGGAGGAGCCTGCCTGGTGGGCTGCCGTCTATGGGGTCGCACAGAGTCGGACACAACTGAAGCGACTTAGCAGCAGCAACTCTCACTGCTCCAAGTCTTTGCTGGAACACCACCCTCTCAATGAGGGTGCAACCACCCTGCAAAAGACCCTTTCACTCCCCAACCCAATCTTTCTAATCCCTCACCCTTTTTCTTTCATCTATGGCACTATTCACCTCTAACACACTGTATATTTACTTCTTACCTGCACTGTTTACTTTCTGTCCCCTGCAGACAAGCACCCCATATAAGCTCCAGGAGGGAGCTCACCCACTGATGACTGAGGAATCCCCAGGGACACAGCAGTGCTCAAAGTCCACACACACAGACCCCTCAGGAGCCCTGGCACCCAGAAGCCCTGCCCTCTGTTTCAGACAACCTCGTTTGTGTGCTTTGGATTAAACGACGTACTAGAAAACGTGTGTATCGCGACCTTAAGATGCAGTTTGGTCTTTTTTTTTTTAAGTAAAAGTTAGTTTGAAATGCCTTAAAAACTGCAGGTCAAACAAAATCCTTCAAAACCTGGAGTCTTTAAAGCCTTTAAAAACCCTTTTGGTTTCTACTCAAAGACTAGGGAAATTGAGACGTGAGAAACTAACTAACGTTAGTTTCTGTGGGTTAAAATATAAAAATAACCTGGCCCAGCTGCCGCGCGACGTCCCTGGCCCTCCCGTCCGCGTCACCCCGAGGCGCGCCCGCGCCCTCACCGTCTCCCCGAGGATGCCCTGGACGCCCCTCCACTGCGAGGGCACGGACGCCACGCCCAGGGTCTCGTCCTGAAGCGGCCCAGGCCGCTCGGGGCCCGCGGTGCTAGCAGTCCCGTTTGTCGCCAGCGCCTCACCTCCCGCGCTTCCCTCCAGGCCGAGCAGCCCGGGTTGCGCGCTGGTTGCCATGGAGACGGCTCCGCCGGCCCCACCCCCTTCCTCCCCACCTCCCCGCCTCGCGCCGACGCAGTCCGCCGTGACCTTCGCCCCCGCGCCTCCAGAGCGGAGGGCTGGGGCAGTGAGGCTATCGGCGCCATTTTTGAATTTGTCAGAGCGCACACTCCAACACCCGAGAAGAGATAAATTATTCTTTTCCCATGATGCGACAACCATTTCCAGTTTTTGGATTCTCCAACCGCAGAGGGAGCACGCTTGGGGCTTTCGCGGCCCCTCTGGGAGGGGAGGGAAGTACGGAAGCGAGGCACCCGTGCCAAGTTCAAAGATGGCGCCGAGCGGCCCGGCGCAGAAGGCAGGGCGGGAGGCTGCGGCCGCGACGGGCTTTAGAGTTGTGGGGCCTGGGGCTGCCGAGCTGGCGGAGTAGCGGAGCGCTCCAGAAGAGCCCCAGTTGGCGGCTACCTCGAAGCCAAGTGCTCGCTCTCTGAGCCTCGTTTTCTGCCTCAATAGAATGGAGATTTTAAATATCCATATATGGATCCAGAGTGTGGTTGAGTAGTTGGAAGGCCCAAATGAAGTAGAATGTAGAAAAAAATGCTTGTTAAACCGAAGTTAAAGACTCGAACAACTACCAATTATTGAGTGTCTACCGTATATGTTGATCTTGATAAATCCTTAAAATGAGAAATCAAATGTTATGTCACTTGAGGGTGCTGATTGTCAAAAAACATAATTTCCCCAGCTCACCCATAAAGGCCACATCACATTTGTCCAAGACCCCACAGACTCTTGCTTGCCCCAAGACCCGGTTCTGAGCTTCTTGGCAAGAATCCGCTGGCAAGGTCCTCTGGGCTGCTTTCTTCCTATCCCTGAACTCTCAGAGTGATGGAAACCCGCCCAATCAGAGGCTCCTCTGCACCGCCTCACGACTGAGTCCTCTAACCCTAATTAGGACTCAGTTCAAGTCAAGGCCGTGAGGCCCGATTAGGTTAGCGACACTGGAAAGACAGAATGCGATAGAAATTTCTTCCTGGAAGGAAAGAATCAGACAAAATTCTCCTTGTAAGGCCCTGTTAACACTAGAAAAGTTTGCAAGCATCACCAAGGATGCAAAACTCACGTTCAAAAAGAAACTCAAGGCTGTGATGGTCAGGAGACTTGGATATGAAGACTAAACACTGCTATGTCCTGTTTTCAGACTTGGCTCCTCTCTGCACCTTGGTTTCCCAGCTATAAAAATAGATATAATAAGGTTGATGCTAGTAGAATCTGCTTTATCGTAGTAAGGAAGGAGACTATTTCAAGAAGAGGAGGGTGGGACTTCCCTGGTGGTCCAGTGGCTAAGACTCTGTGCTCCCATTACAGGGAACCAGGGTTTGATCCCTGATCAGGGAACTAGGTCCCACATGCCACAACTAAGACCTGGTGCAGTCAGATAAATAAATAAAATATTTTTAAGAAGAAAAGAAAGGTGGCCCAAGGTATTAAACACCCCAAACAACTTCAGTAGAGTAGTGGGAACAAAAACCAGCCTGCAGAGGGTTTAGGAATGAAGAAAGTAGAGAAGGTAATGGACATTACTGGGAAGTTCAACATAGGATGTAGGTGTGAGAGTAAATTAGTAAAACCTAATTGGAGGGTAATTTGACCTTTAGGTGTGCCTCCTCTTTAATCTAGAAATCCTACTTCTGGTAATTTTTCTTGAATTAACAATTACAGATTCACACAAATGCTGAGAGCCAAGGATATTCAGCAATTACTCGTTCACAGTAGAATAATAGCAAGATCCTGCAGCCAGCCTAAATTTCCAAGCAAAGTCATGGCACACAACAGGTATTCACTAAATATTGAGAAAGAATGGACAGTGAGCCTTTGGTTAAGTGTGCTAGGCAGAATATAGGCTCAGGTGGCCATCAAGAGTGTTACTGCTCTTTAAATGTGGCAAAATGTTTGCAGCATAATAAGGTTCTTATAAAATGCAATTTATATACATTGTTTCCAGCTGGTGGTAGTGGTAAAGAACAGCCAGCCAATATATTAGACATAAAAGAAACAGGTTTGATCCCTGGGTTAGGAAGATCCCCTGGAGAAGGAAATGGCAACCTGCTCCAGTATTCTTGCCTGGAGAATCCCATGGACAGAGGAGTGTGACGGGCTACAGTTCATAGGGTCACAGAGAGAAGTCACTTAGCACACATTCTGATTTTATAACAATATGTTTCTAACAAAACCCAGAGCTATAGATTCAAATATTGATAACAACAACAACAAAAAAAAACAAATATTGATAACAGTTGCCTCTGGGTAATTAAAGTTTTTCTCTCTTAGAAGGGTTAAAGTTTTATGTGGTTTATTTGTGAAAAGAAAAGAGAATGAATGAACAAACGCTTAGCTGTGCTTGTGAGAGTATTATATCTTGAATGAGCAAGATAGTTTCAAACCATTTACCTCAGACTGGGACTTGAATCCACGTGCTGAAACTCAAACTGAGCCCAAATCCCACAGTCTTCCAACTGAGATCACAGACCTGGTTTCAGGACCTAATGAAACTCAGGTTTTTGATGTCTCATCTCAAAAAGAATTCAGTGAGAGAAAAAGTGATAGGTAAGAAGTGGATTTATTCAGAAACACACTGTGCAGACAGAGTATGGACCATTGCAGAGGGTAAATACAGAGGCCCCAAAATGTGGCGTGGTTAATTTTTATGGTCTAATATCATAGGCTAATGAGTAGAAGGAATATTCCAACTATTGGGGGGGAGGGGTGGAGATTTCCAGGAATTGAGCCACCACCCACTTTTTGGTCTTTTGACAATGCCTTGAAACTGTCATGGCACCTCTGGCTGTGTCATTTAGCTTGCTGACTGAGAATCAAGATCTGCCATCTTGGACCCATTTGATTCTAATCGGTTTATGTTTTGTCCTGGGGTGATGTCATTCTTTCAAAAGTTGTCTGCCCTCTTCCCTCCTGTTTCAAGTTGGGGGAACATTTCCAAGATGAGAGAGTCTTGAGCAGGCTTATGTGCTAGACAGGAGGGTACGCAAATGAAGAGCAGGACTCACTGGAGGAGGAAGGGAGAAGAAGGAACTGTGGGACGGCAGGGATACCTGCACTGTTTGTCTGCCCCCTTTCCCCATCCTAAAGCCACAGGCTCTCTGGCCACACTCCTTGTTACCCTGACAGCCATTCAAACTCCTCCACTGACCTCCGCCTCCCTGTCCCTTCCCTTCACCTGGAGCACTCCTCCCTGCTCCCCTATTTACCTCAGGACCAGATCCCAAGCCCATTGTTGACTCTCTGGGGACTGAGCTCCTCTACTCTGGAGCACTCCTCAAACTGTAATTTGGTAACAAGGTAGTAATGCATGTCTTTGCTCCAGTAGGTCAGCTCCCCCATCATGGGGACCATAGCTGTCCCCAGAGCCCAGCACAGTGCCTGGCACACACAGTAAAAACTAATTGAATGAATGTCTAACCATCAGTTAGAACCGTTTCCAGCCTTATACATAGGACAGAGCCTCCCGCTCTTTTTTTTTTTTTTCTGACAGTACCATGCAGCTTTGGCGATCTTTCTTCCTCAAACAGGGATCGGCAGTGGAAACATGGTGTCCTACCCACTGGACTGCCAGGGAATTCCTGGACACAATGTGTGCTAAGTAGCTTCAGTCGAGTCTGACTTTTTGAGACCCTATGGACTGTAGCCCGCCAGGCTCCTCTGCCCATGGGATTCTCCAGGCAAGAATACTAGAGTGGGTTGCCATGCCCTCCTCCATGGGATCTTCGCCACCCATGGATCGAACCCCACGTCTCTTGTGTCTTCTGCATTGGCAGGCAGATTCTTTACCACTAACTCCACCTGGGAAGCCTGAGGCCAGAGACCCTCCTAAATCTCCACCAGACCTCACCCTGCCTGCCAGGTTGTTTCTAGGAAGCCTCCTGCTTCCTACCTGTACTTCTCAGTGTAAAAAAAAAAGTTCAGTAACTGTGTGTCCAGAAAGTGAAGTCGCTCAGTTGTGTCCAACTCTTTGCGACCCTGTGGACTGTAGCCTACCACGCTCCTCCAACCATAGGATTTTCCAGGCAAGAGTACTGGAGTGAGTTGCCATTTCCTTCTCCAGAGGATCTTCCCAACCCAGGGATCAAACCCCAGGTCTCATTGTAGGCAGACGCTTTACTGTCTGAGCCACGAGGGAAGTCCTTGTCTGTTCAGAGAATGTTTAAGTACATTCAAGGAGGCAAGAACTCAAAAAAGAAGCCATCCCCACTTTAAAACCGTGGTGGCAATTATTTTAGAAACTTTCAGTTCTTTTTAGTAAAACAACTCAAATTTTGAGTGTCTATACCACGCTCCAAGGATGAAACAACTAATTATATAATCATAACACCTCCTGGAGTATGGTGTTCTCAACATGCACTGCAAGCACTTTGCATAAATTCTCACAACATCCTTATAGACCAGGTATTGTTACAATCCACATTTCACAGATATGGGGAAGAATGAAGGCTCAGAGACCTTTGTGGCTTACCCACAGTCATGCATAGCTGGTGAAGTGAAGGTTGGACTAAAACCCAGAACTGCCTGATCCTTTCTTTAGGCAGGCCTATGCTTCTTTCTTTAAACCACTCCATGCCTCAATTTTCTTATTTATGAAATTGAGATGCTAGGCCTATCCCATTTGGTTGAAATAGGACTGGATGAGTTAACACTTGGAAAGCAAGCACACCAAGCAGTGCCTAGTATGTTATCAGTATTTATCAGTACTCTTTAATTATTAGCATTATTATTACCACCAAGCCATAAGGGATCAAAGAGACCACACAGACGGAGACTGGTCCGTAAAGGATGGGAAAGATCAGTCCTGTGTTACAGTGTAGGTTCTCAGTGCACACACACACACACACATACACACACATACAACTGGTCATCTAAGCAAGTGCCATCTTTCACCAAGTTGACACCAATTATGTGCTAGGCACCATGCTAGTTTCTGAGGACTGCGATGGTTTCTGCCCTCT